ACGGAAGACCATGAATTCAATTCGTTTCACTACTATCAATTTTGGTTATTTGTCGTATTAACATCATTAGCTCTTATTATAACCAATGCTGTCATAGCCTTATCGGATGCTGCTTGTTTTGAATCACTGGAAGGAAAAGTTAATCAATTTGGTAAACAAAGATATTTATTTTCTCTTGGATGGGGAATATCATCTATTGGTACTGGATACATTGTTGAATTAGCAAATGCCAATAACGCAGGGAAAACTAATTTTTCTATAAGTTACTACATAATGTTGCCTTTAATTTTCTTCGATATAATAACGCTGGCATTTACAGATATGCGAAAAGAAAAATCGTCAAACAATATATTAAAAGATGTCAGAAAAATATTTGTGAAGGGTCATCCTTTCTTCCTTGTGTTTGCTTCATTTCTCATAGGTGCATTTTCTGGTCTAAAATGGTATTATGGCTATTGGTATTTGGAAGATTTGGGAGGTAGTAAACTATTAATGGGTTTACATAATGCAATGCTTTGCATTTGGTCCGCAGTACCTTTCATGTTTATTTCTGGTTGGATTATAAAAAGAATTGGAAGAGACAATAGCGTGTGTTTGGCTTTCATCACCTTTACCATTTGGTTTTTTACTGCTTCATTTATTAGAAATCCTTGGTTGATTTTGTTACCCGATTTAGTTCAAGGACCTTCTTACGGTCTTTTTTATGCAGTCATGACGTCTTATGGGAAACTCGTAGCACCACCTGGAACGGAAGCGACTATGCAAACTATTCTAGGAGCAGCATTTTATGGTCTAGGTAAGGATACGTTTAATTTTTCTTTTATGAAATACAAATTATTTAATAATTTTGATTTTTGATGCAAATTTTTTATAAATCACACTTATTTAAGATTTTTATTAAATTTGCAAGATATTATTCTCTTCTTTACCCTGTTTCTGAAATTTTCCATACACAAGTTCTATTTAAATTAAATAATCGAATCTCTGTTGTATTTAGATACAATGTGTTTTTAATGTATTCAGTTTGTATGTAAGATTATTTCCTTCATCAAATAATGTCCGAATGCTGAAAATGTGAGAAATTAAATCGCAAACTCGTAGTTTCAGATTTAAGTTACAGTTTATTCATTTAAACCTGGCTCTTCCTCTGCACATGCCATTGTATGCCTCTGATTACTATTGAATTATTTATCAGATTTTAATTACCTAACCGCACTACATAATTAACGTTTTCATAATGCAAACTTAGGAATATTTTGATATAGGCCTATAATGTATAATATTCTCATTCAAACAAATTTTTCACGTTGCCATGTTAAAATCTTCTAATTTGAATACTATTTTTGGTTATAAAATTTTATATTTTACATGGATATCATTGTGTAAATTGTGATTTATTTGATAAATTTCATAATAAAAGTGCATAATATATAAATATATTAATTACAATTTGTTTTCTAGGTATAGGTACAGGATGTCTATTAGGAGGAATTGGTTTTGATAATTATAATAGTCGGTTGACTTATCGTTTTGTGGGATGTTTCTCTTTAGGATCAGCCATTATATACAAATGCATCACGACATTCATAGCTGGAGAAAAGTCTATAATAAAACGTATGATTTTTTCCTTACATTTCAGTGCTTAAATAACAATTATTTTATTAAAATGTTANATAAAATCTCATCTTTATTAGTTTTTACTTGATCATCAGTAGAATGTTCATTTTCGTTTAATTTTATAAAAGTTTCATTGATATTTTCCTTTAAAATATTCCATGACGATTTAAAATGTTGCAATTCTGAAATAATATTGTGTTGAGTAGCTACTACTGGATTAAACTGTATTAAAATACTGCTTAATTTTTGAAATGGTCCCGTAAATTTTGATCTAATGTGCTTTGAACTCGCTGTAAGATGACAGTCGAACTCTCCCCGGTTGCTCTCTCTTCTCCCACTTTCCCTGGTCTAGATCGAAGACGTGTGAATTTGGTCCGAAAATGAGACAATTAAATCGTCTTACACTCGTTCTTGTTTACGAAATAAATCACCGATTTATTAGCTTTAGCTCGACAGCCAGTTTCCTATTGGAGAGGGGATGAGGTCCCGGCCTCACACTACAAAATAGATTATTATTTTTAATTAAATCGTTTGGAATATAGAGAAATTATTATTGAATAACATTTTTTACTAACCTAAAATAAAGGAAATAATATAAGTGGCCATTAAATTGTTATGACTACAATCATCGCTTTGGTGGCTAGGTACAAAACTAATAACTCGCATTTCTATAGTTTAGCATTAAAATTCATAGGAGTGNTAAACAATACATACAAGTACAGTACAGTATTTTCTGAGGAAACACTCGTACTTATTTTTTTAACCCCATTCCCGATAACCCGGCATTTTCACAAACTCGGCCACCCTTCGGTCCACATTAGGCCGAGTTTTCGAGGTTCTACTGTATTTCATAACTTAACCGCCAATACGTTAGGTATTAAAATAATATATGCTAATGATATGAAAAAAACTAATATATTGTTTATTCTCATCTATTCTTCTTCAGTTTAAATGTTCTTCGTCACGAATATCAGCTTAATTAGGGTTGCATAATGGCATGAGACAACTTCTCTAGCTTTTATCGCCAAATATACAAAACTATCCCGTATTGAAAGTATTGTATCGGTTTGAATTGATAGCATAATTCCAAGGTTAATTTAAAAGCCCACTTAATTAGTCTAAAGCTATTTTCTAAATTTAAATAAATATATTTAAGACTGAGTAATTTTCAGCTTTAAATTTATGAATGTTTTGAGTGATCTTGAAAACGATTTTCAAGGTCACGCGAAACAAAATCAATAAAAAAAAGGGGGTCCCATCCGGCTACATTAACAAAATTAATATATCTTCAGAACTTTTGAAATAAAAAGGGTACAACGAACTTTAATAGGTTAAATATTTCTTTCAAAGTTTCCTATAAATCGATTGGTTTGGTTTTTATTAAGTTATGGCAACGCAACATTTGGGCGATCTGTCTAAGGGGTGCCTTCCGGGGGGTCATTTTAAAGGTAAATTCTTGGAAAAAACCCAGAAAACTCCACGTGTCCAGCCGGTCCTGGCGAGGCGCGAACCCACGACCGAACTATCTAGTGTTTAAGAAACGGAACTGCTTGGCCACTGGTGGACTATCCTATAAATCGAACCAATTTTAAAATTCATAATAATATCAGTTTGTAAAATTTATAATTTGAAATATGGTGCACATTCATACTGTATTCACAATTATTTTAATTATTTCAATCTTGAATTGTCTCAAGATACAAGCAGCTCTATTTACGCTTAAGATTAGTTCTCAATACTATATTGTAATTGTAAAATATTTTCAATTCAAAAACATTATTCGTTGAAATTTTGAATCCATAATTTACTTCTTTGATATAAATGTATATTATTCAATCTCTTCATTAAAGAACCATTACTAGTATTTTCTACTTGTATAATTTATTGTCTTTTGCTATAAATATCGTAGATTTATATAAATGTTTATCAAACAATGACTTCTTATTTTATAATATTTAAAATAGCGTGCGTTCCAAGAAACTGCCAACTCAGCAAATTAAATGGGGAATGAATGTTGCGGAAATAATTTCATTCATTTAATTTGCATTGTTATTACGAATTTATAAAGTACTATTCTCATATATACACAACGAATTTTAGCAAGCCTATTATAGGTTCGACCAGACCCACAATATGGCGGCCTGGACCAATATATTCGGATGGACAATCTCCTCAAAACCTCCTGGAGATTTCGACCTATCCGAATCGAGATTAGGATCATATCTGAATCCAGATCCTCTAAAGTGATACGCTGTCATCTTATCCGCTTTGCCATTCAGCCGTCAGACATCCAAGATTAGTCTTTGTTTAGTTTGGTTTGATGGCATACGGCAACACATCAAACCAAACTAAACACATGGGAGATCTGCTAAGGACGTTGCCTCTCATAAAGAAGCCATGGAACGGATCCATATTTACGTGTTACAGATTTGAAGAAAATCTTGAAACTCCACATGGCTGTTGGTAGAGCTCGAACTATTAAGACGTGACCAATGTTTAGTTGTTTTATCCACTTAGCCATTGGTACATTCATCTAGAATTTGGCTTCATAGTTGCAGTTTTTGGTTCACGTCACTTATGTGACCTAGTGATTAGGCCTAGGCCTAATCACTAGATTACATAGGCCTGAACCCACGACCACGTTCTATTGAACGTGATCGTGGGTTCAGGCCTGTTATAATAAATTAAGCTTTAATTATAAAACAAATATATACAAATAAAAATGAATATAAACACAGGAAAATTTTTCTACTATATGAAATACTTTCCACTATTTTATTTATTTATTTTTAATTATAAATATGTAAAAACTATTAATTATTAATCGTAATAGTTTGTTATTATGGCATGTGAGTAATAAAATATTTAAAAACACCCATTCCTGTATTTAAATTATAGAATGAAAAATATATTTAATTTGAAAGTAGTAAATAACTACGTTCAGATTTAGTATGTCTAAACTAAACGTAGTTATTTACTATAATATATATTAATATATTTAATAAAAATAGCATTTTAGAATTGTACATAAAACTCATTGTTATTTGACCTCAATTTTGGTGTATATGAATACAAGCTTTGTATTTTTTTTAATAAAAAATTGAGAAATTATTAACTGTAATAAAACTAGTATGAAAGGGAAGAAAAGAAAAAAAGAGAAAAAAGAATAATAATTAGAAATTATCAATGAATTATTAAAAGTCAACAAATTAGCCTTAAAACAACATACAAAGAATCTGATTATAATAAAAATAATGAACAATCAATTTCTTTTTTAGTTTATAAACATAATTAAATTTTTTACTACTTATAAATTTGAATTAAATTGACTTTTTACCATTACTAAATTTTAAAAAAAGTAAACAAATGTTATTTATTTTCAGCTCAATCAGCTGTTATTCCATATCTTCCTATATTCGCCAAAGAATCTGGAATTAGTGCTATTGCTGTAGGGGTGGTGCAGTTATTAGCTCCTCTGATAGCTACAGTAGCCAGGCCTTTATTTAATGCATTTACTAATTATCTACACAATTTAAAACAAAGTTTAATGGGACTAGTTATCATAAATACTATCTGTTGTATTGTGGTAATGTTTATTCCAACATCAAAAACTAATAGTTTGACATTGGTCTCAACGTTTTCTTGTGATTCGTATGAATGGACAACCCCTCTACCTGAAGAGTCTCCATTTAGAACTTTAGAAGCAAACGAAACGATCGTATGTGGGACGTTGTGTACAACATGCGCTGTTTATAGTCCTTCATCAAACATCACAGACATTTTACCAGATTTAATTTTGGACAATTATTACGACAATGCCACAACGATGATATGTAAACAGAAAGAGGAAAGACGTTTGATGCATCTGATAACGCTTGAAAATGGTATTGTTGCTGTATCAAACGACAGCAAACCGACCTGTGCTACAAAAGTGATTTATAACTGTACCATTGTTTGCCCTTGTAATTACAGCTGCTGTTCAACTATTAATGATTACGCCAACACTCAATTTTGGATGATTTTGATTCTTTACTTTTTCTTATCTTTATTGGCTGCCATGATGAACAATTTATCAGATACCGCTTGTTACGAGTTGGTACATAACAGTCCCCGAATTTACGGTAATCAGAAATTATGGACGTCACTCGGTACCGGTGGTTTTGCTTTATTAACTGGTTACATATTAGATTTATTTACATCCCAACAAAAAACTGATTATTTAGTTGGGTTTTACATTATGGTAAGCGTAATGTTTCTCGACTTTGTAATTTTATGTGGTGTCGAAGTGGATGTGGTTTCAACTGCGACTAGTAATACGGAGTTTTTAAAATTATTTTCTTCGTGTTATAGAAATATCGTTTTCATATGTTTTGCCTTTTATATAGGTATCATTTCTACTCTCTTGAACACTTTTTTATTTTGGTATCTTGCTGATCTCGGCGCATCGAAAACACTAATGGGTATGGCTCTATTTATCAACTGTATTTCTGAAATTCCCACATATTTTTATTCTTTTAAGATAATTGAAAAGTTAGGGCATTTTATTACAACGTTTTTTGCATTAATATGCTACAGTATTCGATATTTTATGTACTCTGCACTTGAAGATCCTTGGTATGTTCTACCAGTGGAAGTGATGCAAGGATTAACTTATAGACTTTTTTACTTAACTTTAAGTTCATACGCGAAAAAAATTTCTCCACTAGGAACTGAAATAACGATGAAAGGAATTTTAGGAGCAGCATTTTCTGGATTTGGTAAATAAAATTTTATATTTCTTATACTAATATGTCTTATAATAAAAAATAATATGGAATCTTTCTACTTCAATTAATTTTAATAATAAATTAACACATACCTACATTTAATCTATGCATGACATTTAAAAAAAAATATATATATTTTTTTCAGGCTGGGCAGTTGGGAATATTTTAGGAGGATGTTTAATGGATATTTTTGGCGGAAGATATACATTTCATTATGCTGCAATTGCAACTACTATAGGATATTGTCTTTTGATGTTTCTTCATTTGTTGTTAAAATTTTTTGAAAACAGAAGGAGGTAAAAAACTTTAATTTTTAATCAAATTTTAGTTAGTTTTTAATTAATTCGTACGATACACCGCACCACTCGTTGGATAACGTATAAGCAGAAATGCAGATAAAACACACAAATACAAATCCAACGACTGGAAGAACGGGCGACGATTGATTAAAATCGGCCATTCTTCGACGTATTCAAAGGTGCAAATTTACCAGAAGCGACTAAGAGTGAAAGAAAAGGTGTCACTATCAATTCTGATAAAGCTCAAGCTGACACTTTCTCAGGTCAGAAAATTGGCTCATACCATCTTCTAATGAAATCATCATCAAGTTGTTTTCCTTTACCTTGTTCAATTCTCGCATTTATTTTATATTTTAACTTGAATACGATAAATGACATTTGTAATAAATAAATATTGTAATAGAATTTCTGATCCAGAGACTTGATGTGCTATTGAACTTTCTGAAAATCACTAATGTGTATAGAGAGATCGGAATTGTTTCAAAACAATTGTAGACTTATAAATTTCAACTGTCTGTTCTTCCTTAATCTGGAAAACTGAGTTAGATAGTTGAAAGCCGAGACAAGTGTAAAAATATTAAGGGCAGTAGGCCCTGATTAACTGTTTATAAATGTCTAATAGAAGCTGGAAGTCACGTTATTTCAATTCAAAAATTTTTCCCTGAAAGGAATAGATAACTGGCATGACTCTATTGCTAACTGGAAAAGTATTATATACAGGGGCTTGCTAACTGGAAAAGTATTATATACAGGGGGCTTGCTAACTGGAAAAGTATTATATACAGGGGGCTTGCTAACTGGAAAAGTATTATATACAGGGGGCATGCTAACTGGAAAATTATTTTATATACAGGGGGCTTGCTAACTGGAAAATTATTTTATATACAGGGGGCTTGCTAACTGGAAAAGTATTATATACAGGGGCAAGACCACTACTAATTTGAGGTGGAGATCATATAATTTAAATGAAATAAATTAAAAATATGATTAGAAATTGCAGCTAGTATTGTGACAGTATCACAATAAATAATCGCTCGTTTACTTTTATTTTACTATTAAAAATATGCTATTGTTTTTGTTTATATGTACAGTTCTGTATATTTGTTATTTTTTGTTTTTATTATTGTTATAGTGTTTAATATTATATAGAATCTATATTTATACAGTTTTTACTGTTTGATGTAACGCAGTTTGGCCTTTAAACTTACTTCTTTTGTGCCAATAAACACCAACTATCCAACCAACCAACCATCTATTACAATTTCATTTTAGGCTTATTTTTTAGGCTTAGATGTAAGCCTAAAATGAAAACAGTTTTCTTATGATTATCTGTTACTGATATATAAATTCTATTTATATCCGTATAAAATAAAATACTCACCGTTTAACACATTTCAATATTATAAATTCAGACGAGGTTTAATTATAAAATATTAATTATTAAACTTTTGCATTATCTTTTGGAGAGCAGACGTTTGTTTTTTAGTTGTCATGACAACGCGCCGTTTCGTATTTAAATTTATTTAAATTTTGAAAAAAATTATTATATTAATTATAATACTGTACAATATTATAATAAAATTTATCGTTATTTGCTTTTCTTTATCTGTGATGTAATAATTATTTTTTTTACATGAAATTCATTACGTCATAGATACGTAAGAATAAAATCTATTCTGTAGTGGACAATACAGCAATCTCTGATAATAATAATAATAATAATACAGCCAACTCCACTATAACACTGTTGATTTTTCCGTTTTATATGAATTCCATGTTGTACGAGGCACTTAGATTTTACAAATACGTGAGCCGTTCACAGCCCGGCACACGTATTTGTACACAAATCTAAGCGACTCGTACAACATGGAATTCATATAAAACGGAAAAATCAACAGTGTTATGGGGGTCGACTGTAATAGTATAAAGTAATGTTCAGTTTACAAATTATATAATAAATTTTATTAATATAAGTTTTTATTATTTTAAAATCTAGGAAAAAAAGCTCTACTGCTGCAAAGTTATCGTCGCATGATAATCCAGCTTTTGAGAGAGAACTCACATAATACTTTGTGTGTAAGAATTATCATTTAAAACTTACGTAAATATATATTTTTATGTAGTTTTATTAGTTTTTATATTATAAAATTATATATTATTTTTGTTTCGATTTGAATAAGTTTTGTATGAATCCCTTGCCTAATACTAAGATGCTTTTATAGTTTTATTTATAATTTTATAGTGTTATATGAGAAGATATTAGAAAAAGAATTAGATTTATATATTTTATTACTATAAAGTATAAAAAAGGAAGTATATATATATATTATTATTATTATTAAAGATGCCATTTGATTTGAAATTCGGGATTTGCTGCAACATATCCCAGCTGAGCTGAGCTTAGTTTAGCCCTGGTCCAAATACACAGATTAGTTCGCAGCTCGTCTATCAAGACCTCAGCTCAACTTGGTATTTTCAAGTAAACTACGCTGCCTTGAGCTTTGCCAAAGTATAATTTCAGTAGACATACAATTCATATACGCGTATCTTATATATTATTGAAATTATCACGAAGAATGTAGAACGTTTCAGAATGGCATAGTAGTTATTGAAGTCTGCAGCCAAGTTTGAATTTGGAATGTCACATGATTTCGTTGCACTAATACAGTTTGCAATGCAAAATCATAGTTTAATAATTGACGGATGTTGAAGAATTACAGACGTTATTTGATATTTATGAGGAATATCCATTTATCATTTGCTCACCATTAGCCGAGTGGATAAAACCACTGAACACCATTAGAACCCAAAAGAAATCCTATTTAGGTGTTGGCACCCAAAAGAAACCCTAAAACGCTGCGTGTCTAACCGACCACGCTGCGTTTATGGTTTCTTTTGGGTGTCTAACACCTAAATAGGGGCTAGTTTAGAAAATCCTCTTGGAAGACACCCCCTTTGCAGATCGCCCAAATGTTGAATTGCTTCAGTCCTCAGTTTAATCCAATCACCTTTAATGACAGGGACACACTTAATCAAAGTCCTTCATAATATAGTAAAAGAAACTTCCAACTATTGTGTTAGCTTTTTTATTGCTTCTTAATAGGCCCTACAACAACTTCCTCATCATATGTTTTCATTTTAACTGATAATCTCGAGTTATTCGTTCTCTCATAGTGTAAGAGGACTTATCACTTGTAAAAAAATCATTCATATGGTACAGTTTCACAACATAATTTTTTTGTTTATTCAATTTATATCAACATTTATTTATTAATTGTTAAATAAGATTAATATGCAAGTAAATATTAATTTTATTTACTTTTACTTTCAGATAATTAAGTTCTAAAATGAAGAAGAATGATTGTATTATTCTATGTTCATTTCCTTTGATAAATTTTATGTTGAGGAAGATCAATTGCTTTCCAGACAAGAGTTTATTAAAGAATAGACTGTAGAAAAACCTCAAATCAGATTATTACTAAAGATTTTGAACAGAATGTTTCCACAGAATTCAAACAATTTATCTATTTTCAATTTGAACATTCATATTTTCGAAAAATTGCACCTTATAAATATCGTACAGACATTTAAATTTAATCCAAACACGCAAAATTAAAACTAATTCTATATCTTATAATACCACTGGGGGGATCCGAAATCGAATTCGGGCGGTCGAAATTGTCCCAAGAAATTTTCGGGGTGTGATCTGTTCCGGCTGAGTCGGGCCACGTTTCACAACATCCGGCCACTTCATTATGGGCTTGGACGAACCCACGGAAAAATGGTCTTTTTAGTGAGCAAAGATTAAAAAGACATAAAAATAAATATGTTACGGTTAATCTAATAAATTTGTTACCATATATAATCATTGGTTATTTTACAAAATACTGTAATCAATATTCGTGGTTAATGTAATAAAATACAGGCAATTAATTATTTTCACCGGTCATTCTACATAACACCCAAATATTTTTGGCTGAATTGAACGTCGAACGTCGAGCGGCGCTCAACGTTCGACGTTCACGTTTTACAGATGAAAACTTCGGCCGCAACATGGTTTGTTACAGATGGTCAAAGGTACAAGAGATGCAACTGCATCATTCTGTAAAATGAATGTCTATTGAAAAGTGACAAACTGGTTTCTCGAATACTTTTGAGCTAATCGGCCCTTATTGATGACAATTTCATACATCTCCCCATCAGCAGAATTGACGTCTAGAATGTTCCTGGAGTCACCCCTTCCCGTCAACATCAGAAACTCGCTTAATAACCGAAATTGCCGAAAATTTTTGAAATTTCGCAGGGTGGTTTATTTATTAGGGAAATCGATGCTATTAAATTTTGTTGACTAAAGGTTGAAGGGGTGGGGAGATAAAAGGATCGTATATCGTATCTCGAGTAGGATCAGACATAATGACGACTTTACTCGTTATTAGCATTTACAATTTCTTTTCATAAAAACCCATCCCTACCCTTGAAATTAAGCTATTTGCCATTTTATAATAATTTAAAAAGTTTTTAAATAATAAAATATCGTAACAGATAGTGTCACACAAACGATTATAAATGTTGCCGGAAATATTAAGCAACTCGTTGCTGGATTTTTTTTTTACAATAAGCCTAGTTAAATTTAAGCAATTTATATCCATATAATGATATACACTTCATGCATTTGGAATGTCTGAAATCCGTAAGAATAGTAAATAACATCTAGCCTATATATTAGAGAACTAGCAGACCCCGCCACGCGTTGTTGTGCCCCAAAATGTATCTATTACTAGCTTACCCGTCCCGCATTGCTGCGTTCTCAGAAGAAAGGAAATTTAAGCAAACTCGTTATGATAAAATTCAATTTACATTTTATCATTTTTATTGAAACTTATTATTATTATTCATTTTCACCGGGAAAACATTTCAAAGTGTCGTTTCAATTCTATTTATTTATTGGAGTGGATACACGATATTTTTTGTTTTTCCGTCTGGTGCGTACACGAACAAATCAGAAGATTTTTCCGACGCGTGAGCCGGCCACATACAGTGTCCATTCGTGTGGCATAAATTTGGATTCTCCAAATTTAGCCCACACACTCGCAGCGATTATCAGAAGCGCGATATTCCCCATTTATATATATATATGTATGTATATATTTTAACTCTTTTTGCCCTGGNCGGAGTTAGTGCTACAGGATTGGGTATTACTTACCTGACGGCCCCATTTCTTGCAGTTTTTATGAATCCAATATTCGGATACGTTACCGATAAATTCAAGAAAATAAAATTCATTATCATCC